AACCTCAGCCGCTCCAGATACATACTCCACCAACGTCCAACACCTGAACCGGGATAAGTCTCTTCCTCCATCGGAGGGGACTCCATCTAGGATCCATGCACGTGTAGTAGTACGATCGTGCGTTGTTACATGTCTTTGTCTTCTCTCTTCTTTTGCTTGAGCTTGACATTGAACTTCACAAACACAAGATCCTCTAACTTCTTCGACTCCAATTGGTTTCTCTTTTTCGTGTAAATCTTTAAAGAAGAAAAGAACAAATTAGTAAAGTCATAAATGAATAACTTCCTCTTATTAATTTTAGATATTTATGTAGTTTACCCCTCAAATGTGCTCTAGTTCTTCTCGCATCTGAAAGAACTACTAGTGAGATTAAGAACATTCATCGCCAAGTTTTGCAGAAAGGGACAATCACTGTCATATATATACCACCAACTAGCTGCAAACACATTGTCTTAGTTGAATTCATCAGTGTAAAAAATAACTTATGATTGATAATTTGATATATTCAAATTATAAACTAAATTTACCTAGGTTGAAGTTCACTTTCTACTTAGATTTCACTATCAAACTTCTACCAAATGAACTCTTATCCTCTCTATACTTCTCCATAAACTCCTTAGTAACCTCAGCTTGGTGTTCCTCATCGGGATAGAGCAGCTCCACCACATCTAGAAATTCCTCCTTCCCCTCCTTAGAGTTCTTAGCAACATCATCTCGAAAGAAGTAGTAAAGATTAAGGACATAAGCTGCCATATGCAAGGGTGTATATAATCGATCCTCAGACTTGGAACATATAATATCAATCACCGACTTGCATAGGCTCTCCTTCAAAACAAGCTTGATCTCCTCCTTTGTGTCTTCAAGCATCCACACAATAAATTTCATTGAGGGTCTATAGTCGCTATTGAGCACCCTTAACATGCTAAAAAGGGGAGCATAGATCTTCAATAGCTTGTTTACAGATTGCCACCAACTATCACACAGGATAATGGCCTACACTTTTTTACCCATTGCGGTTTTAGAATGCTTGCTTTTCCTCCATTCTTCATCATGAGTCTTAGCTTCAGCTTCTTCTCATGAACACTCCGCAGGGTCAAGAATGCAGTGTCAATACGAGTGACTCCGGGTCTAACAATCTCCCTCATCTCACACATGCGGCGCATTATGTTCAAGATCTTATGGTGGCTGTAGATGAAGATAGTAAGGGCCTTCACTTTTCAATAGTTGCTTTGAAGGTTGACAAATTTCCAATGCCCTCAAGCATTAGGTCAATAGTATGAGTTGCATAACTGGTCCAAAAGATACTCGGCTTCTTCTTCAATCTCTCCTTCATCGCCATATTTGCAGAAGCATTATCTGTGACGATCTGGATGACCTTTTGTGGTCCAATCTCCTCAATGCATGCATCCACTTGCTCAAAAATGTATTCCCCTGGGTGCGAGTCCTCGGAACACTCAATCAACTTGTAGAAAGCCTACCTAGCCTGCTGTGGATGCACAGATTTATGATCGATCACATTTTCCTATCTGACCAAGCATCTGTTATGATAGAACAACCACTCTTCCCCCACTCCTCATGCTCCTTAAATGTGTTCCTAGTCTCATTCACAGCGCCCCTCAACAACTGCTACTCAAGATATACATGTTAGGCGATCGGTAGGTTCGTCCATAATCCCCAATAGCACTGCACATCCGCATAAGGAGTCGGTAGATAAGGCATGAAAAGAAATGTTTTTCTCATATGCTCATCTAGCAACATGCTTGTGGACCCAATCTCTCTTCTCCTTCGTATAAGCTTTCTTCACTCCAGGCTAAATCATTTTTCCCTTCAGTCTCTTTGCTAGCTCGGGATCACTAGCAGTATAAGCATCCATTGGCCCAACGGTCGGCTCTCTACGCCTCTTTGAAGATTCATCCACTGTATGTATAGAAGAGACAATTTCCTCTCCTTCAATAGCCGTCGGATCCGACTTGTCGAACTGTGCTTCATCTTGCAACTCCATGATATGCATCTCCTTCAGTTTCTTTCTCCTGGAATTAGCATCCATAGCTTCTTAGACTTTTCTCCTATTAGCAACCGAAATCTTAGAGCACTTTACACAACTGTTTCCTCTGCCAACAAGATGTTGCTTCTATCTAAAGAACCCCTTTTTATTTTGTGCGAGCACGATTTACATTGCACCAAGCACAAATCAGTTGGATCCGGAAGAAACCCAAACTCCCAACTAATATCTCCTAAGTTTTTTTTAACTTTCACAGGGGCTTCCGCAAGAACAGAGGTGGAATCCGTAGATTTCTTAGGAGGAATATCTGACATTCTACATTACAACAATTCAACAAACAAATCATTCATAGATCAAATCATCAAATCATGACAAATAAAAGATTCAAATAAATCACATAACTTGATCTATTAAGTAATAAAATTAACTAAAATTGAACAAGATTAAACTAAAATTAACTAAATTTGAACAAGATTAAAGTAAAATTAACTAAATTGAATAAAATTAACTAAATTAAACTAAATTGAACAAAATTAACTATTTAAAGTTTAAAAACAATTATAAGTGCTAAAACAGTAAATAAGTTTAAAAACAGTTTAAAAATAAAAAAATAAAATTTTTACCTGTAAGGAGGACCGACGGCAGCAGGATATGCTCTGAGAGTTGGAGCTACTAGCGGCGTTGGAAGCTGGAGCGCTGGCGCCATTTGGAGCTGCCAACAACTGGGGAGTTGGGAGCTGCAGTAGCGGCAGCCATTGAGAGTTCAAGCGGCTTGGCGGCGGGAGAACAGGGAGCGGGAGGTGACGGGAGGAATGGGGAGGCAGCTGGCGGAGAGAGGGGGAGCCGAGTCAACGGGAGCTGAAAGAGAGGGGGGAGAGTCGGTGAGTTTGAAGAGGCGGTTGTTTGGAGTGGGACTATGGGAGAGAGTTTGAGAGAATTTAGGGTTAAGTTAATGGGTTCGAGTTTGGGTATGAACATGGGTTCCGGTTTTGGTAATGGGTCGGGTAAGGGGTTTTATTTTTTTTCATGTTTTAAAAGCTAGCTGCCGCCTAGGCAGGGCACTTTGGCCAGAATTAGGCGGGCATGTGTCCACCTACGCCTAGGGGGCTTTTTAGAGCACTGGACCGGCGATCAACTCATTTTAATCAATTTGTTGCATTAATTTTTATAAAGATCCGTTGTAAAGAAAGGTGACTGGTTAAATCTTATAGAGACTTATGGGAGAAAGGTGGTGGGTCAAATCTTAAAGAGACTTATGCACCCGTGTTGAATTTGATTTATGTCATGTATACTGAAACATGAATGTTTATCAAATTAAATTAGTATCAGAATCAAATTGATTAAACGAGACAAATCACTTGCTCAGTGTGCAGATCAGATCAACTCATTTGAATCAATTTGTCTCATTAATTTTGTAAAGATCCATTGTAAAGAAAGGTGACTGGTCAAATCTTAAAGAGACTTATCGACCCGTGTTGAATTTGATTTATGTCACGTATACTTCAGCATGAATGTTTATCGAGTTAAATTAGTATCTGAATCAAATTGATTAAATGAGACGAGTCACTTGAGATCAGTGTCTGATAATACAGGGACTAGCTCTCATTAAACCCTCTTATGTTGGACTGATGATTGACTTATAAGAATTAATTCATATTCCATTGTAAATAAAGGTGACTGGTCAAATCTTAAAGAGACTCATGGACCGTGTTGAATTTGATATGTCATGTATACTGAAACATGAATGTCATCAAATTTAAATATTATCAGAATCACATTGATTAAGTGAGATGCATCACACACTCAGTGAGCAGGTCATAGTCAGATAATACAAACAGAAGAAAGTGCTCTCATGGAGAAGACATCCATGACTTGCTTTGAACTTGTCCTCGTTCGGGGCTGGACAACAAATTCCTAATAACAGTTGCTATACACTGATCAATATATCAAAAGCCAGATGGATGGTGATTGCAGGGTTTGAATCCATACATTATCAAAACATTATCAATGTAGCCAAAATTTTACGCTCGGTTGATTTTATGTTTAGTAACAATTTACCTATTAGATATGTTGTCTGAGCACGATTTTTGCTTTAGAATTGCTATAGCTACTTGGGAAGTTACTACTACGTAGTGCATCCAAATGTCATGTGCTGTTTAGTATTTGGTGAATTTTCTAAAGTCCATTGTAGGGCTAATTTTTCTTTGCAGGAGTTTCATATGAAAAAGTAGTGAACTTTTCTTCTTCTTGTTATTTTTAATATTCATCTGGCCATGAAAGTTTTATGTTACTCTTTCAGTTAGAGTTTGAGTCTTTTGCTAAAATTAAGAGGGTAACTAGGACGAACTGATTTTTGGAGGTTATGCCTTTTGGTTGGATGATTCAACATTTCTTTGGTTTTAATATCTGTTGCTGCAATGTAAACTATCAGTGTAGATGTAATCTTGCCTTATTTATGATCAGTTTATTCAAGGAACAAAAAGGAGAACAAGGCAAAAAATATTAGGAGACAATTTATAGGAAAACTTGCCTAGAAACTGTATTGTTCTATCATGTAAACTGTAAAGCCATCATCTCTTTCATTGAAAGCATTATTTTGGAAATTTCCGATATGTGGATATATTACTATAATCTTGTGTTGGTGCTTTACTGATTTAATCTTCTGCAGTGCTATGATAGGTACTTGCAGCAGAATCTTCGAAGGGCTGCAAAATTGAGGGGCCATGCATTTTGGGCCAGGGGACCAGATAATGCTGGCTATTATAATTCCAGGCCACGTGAAACTGGGTTCTTCTGTGATCGTGGTGATTACGACAGCTACTATGGACGGTTCTTTCTTCGTTGGTATTCACAAACTCTTATAGACCATGCAAATCAAGTGTTATCACTCGCAAACCTTGCATTTGAAGGGACACAACTAGTTGTGAAGGTATGTAGGAGCAAGTTCCTTAATTTCTCCACAGGCTGCTTATTTCAAGTCCCTATTAGCTCTGAATTCAGCTACAAGGGTTTGCTTCAGAACTACATTAGATCAGTGCAGAATGCTGAAGAGTCTAATTATTCCATTGTTGAAGATATCATTATCCTTTTTTGGGGCAAATCATTTAGTTCATCATGTTTCTTGTTATATTTCCCCATTTCCTATGTCCAATGTTTAGTTGCTCTCTTCCTTGAGCCTCTGCTGGTTCAAATAGTAGAGGCCTCTAGCACACGGCAGCTGGAGCCTCTTATTACATTTGTGACAACCAGAAAAAGAATATGGGGGTGGGGGTCAGGGAGGGGAGGAGAAAAAATGGAAAAGAGACAAGAAAAACGGGGTGGTAGGGGGAAGAGTGAGATGGGTAGTTGGGAACGATAAGAAACCAAGGACCTTGGCTAGAAACATTTAATCATTTGCCTTACTCATTTTGTGGTGAGTTTCAATAGCTTTTGTTAAGAGGGGAGGGGAGCAGTTGGAAAGGTTATAATGCTAACCCCTCAATATTGTGCTTGATTACAATTTTTTGTTAGTAAGGGGAAGGGTTGGGAGGGCTAAAATGAAGCAAATTTCCTCACTTACTTTACCATCCTAGAGTGAGTGGATTCTGAGGGGAGGGATTCAGTTTTAAGTCATATTTTTTCTTAAATTCCAATATTATTCCCAGAGTTAAGTCATATTTGTCATGTAGTTTCAGTACTCTCCCTTTCCACCACTCCCTTGCTAAAATGAAGCAAATTTCCTCACTTACTTTACCATCCTAGAGTGAGTGGATTCTGAGGGGAGGGATTCAGTTTTAAGTCATATTTTTTCTTAAATTCCAATATTATTCCCAGAGTTAAGTCATATTTGTCATGTAGTTTCAGTACTCTCCCTTTCCACCACTCCCTTG